CCTGTCATTCACCAGCATCTGAGTTCCTCAGGAACTTGTTTGTGCACTTCTCCTTGAAAACAATCATCCCCTCTCTGCTGCATGGCAAGCTCTCTTGCCCGATTTTTGCACAATTTTTGCACATCGTCACGGCTAATTACTTAATAGGTAATCTAATGAACTGAACACTTTATTTTATATTCAAACATAATTAGACTTTTCCCCTTGTGCAGATGCCTGTGTATTTTTGTTCATTGTTTACACCATCCCGGCAAGAAAAATTCTTTGCAACATACATGGTAATAAATTATTGTGATTGCGATGATGCCCGTTTCGTAAATTAAGGTTGATTTAGAATAAAATACACCATAAAGCAGGGTATACCTTAGGGTTACTGTGAGTGACTCGTCTCTTTTCAGAATGAACTTCTAACATAGATCTATAGTTGTTAGGTTCACTTGGTCTTTTAACTCATGTATAAAACCAAAGCTGTATCGATATACTCTCTATTAATCCATTAACTTCCTCTTAGAACTGATGTATTACTAACATCGACAAATGGCATTGATTCACAGATTTGATTTGAGTCCAATAATTTCAGAATTGCCCGCTACACTGGGGAAATGTAACACATAGAGATAACAATGTCGTTCAGCCCAAATCTCACAATGCTCTCCTTTTTAGAGCTATTCAACAATAGCTTTTGGCAATAAGCATTACAGCCTTACAATTCCTATGTAATCCCAATGGATCTAAAATCTTAATGCAGTTAATAATCTCCACATTGGCAGGTACATCTGCGGCAAAGAATAACTAAAAATCAGACAATCAACATTCTTCTCTTCCAATGACCAAAAATATCCCTGTAAGTAAAGCTGCCTGATCCATCATCAAGCCATCAAGCCACAGCTAAACAATAATTTGCTTTCATTCTAAAAAGCAGAACTCAAAGTGCTGCCGGACGCTTTCCTTGCAGTTTATTTGTCGTATGTGCGTGCTAAATGCCACGCAGATAAGTCAGCGCTCTACCGTAAAATACAAACACTATTTGTGAGTTAAATCGGATATCTGCTGGCGCTTGTAAGCGAATATGGACTCTTGGTCTTCTCGGTCCATTAGTCTCTCTCCTCTCCATATCACTCCCTTTGCGGTTCTCCCTCCAAGTATTTCCTCGTAATTATTGCCTCTGATTATTTCTTCAGGCTTTACTGTAGATCAGAGGATTCCCACCAGCTATTCGAAGTCGCAATTCAAACACTTTATGAGCTGAGGAAGAGCAAAAAGCAAGGATGTAGGGAATAGTGCTCCTAAATTCAAAATGGACATGATAATGTTGCTGAATACAATGTAATCATTCTAAAACATTTCTTTCATTTTAAGGGGCCAGTTGTTTCTTAATTGGAGGCCGTTTTAAGTTGTGGCAGATCAATGCGTGGGCCAAACTAATAGTACAGTCAGCCCCCATTATTATGATATACAGTATGTTTGATCTCAAGAGCCCAACTCATCCCTCTGGTACCCTTTATAGATTTAACCGGTTAGTTTAGTTGCACAATTGAAGAGTTGAATGTGAGGGCATGCCTTTGAACAAGTTCAGCAGGTTGGGTCCTGCAGGAGGACAATTGGGATGCAGAGTGAGATGTCATCTGAGAAAAGTGTGCCATTTTAACTGCATCACAAAGAAATATAACACAGATTTCAACGCGGTTTCCCTATCCTTTAGTCCAGTTTCTACATCCACACGATGACAGTGATTTCCATGGAAACCGCCCAGCAACAGGCTGCATCCTTGAAACCAATCAGAACCTGCTGTGTGTCTGTGTCTCGTCCAATTGGAGAGGCAGTGGAGGGGGAGTACAGGGGGTTTGTGGGCCGTCAAGGTGAATGCTCAGGAGGCGTGATCGAGGTCGAGATCACTCCATGCTTGAAAGAAGTAAGAATCTCAACATTTTAGTCTAAAAGAGAGATGCTTTTGTAATTCTAAAAACTAATCATTAAGCAGATATTTCTGTTATGTTAGTTGTTTTAAATGTTTACAATCAATTTTGGGCTTGGTTGTTACTCGGGTTAAAGGTCCACCACCTGACAGTTAACAGAATGGGTCCAAGACATAAAAAAAAATTATCGGCAGTGATAGTTGTCTTCTACTTATTTTGAAGTCCTTCAAAAGCGACTTAGAAGAAGACAGCCAGTAGGAGCTGTGGCTCAGTTGGTAGAGATCGTCCTCTAATCATGAGGCGGGTGCTTTGATCTTCTATTGTCAGCATGTCCAACCCCCTAAAATGCATACATGTTGTCACGGGTGTGGGTTTTTGGGGTTCCGGAATAAGGCAGGACACGGCAGGTTTAGGTTTACTTTTATTTTGCTTCTTACGCTCCTCAAAACACAGCGCTCCCGGCGTCTAGCTCGCTCGTTTTGCGGCTCCCTTCTCGTCCCGATCGCCCTTACTGCGTTTTAAATAACAAGACAAACACAATCAATCAACATTCAGCTCAGCTGAGGCCAATCGCCTCCACCTGGCACCGTTCACTGAGCCACTCCCCCTCTCTCTCTCCCCTCTGCAGACGAGCCAAAACCACGCCCGCCACCACATACCCCCTGCGCCCCCAGCCTATGGCCCGCCGTGAAGTTACAAGGTTGTAGAGCCAGATGCCACCGAGTGATCCGTTGGTATCCTTCATGCGGTGGAGCCATTGGAGCGGGGCGTGGTCCGAACAGAGGGTGAAATCGGAGGAGGTAGTACCGCAGTCCACCGCCCACCCTGCTGTACCTGGCCTCCCTTTTGGACAGCTTCCGGCTGATGTATAAGTAGGGGCGGTCGACCCCCCCACCTCCTGGGACAAAACGGCCCCCTGTCCGATGCGTCGGTCGGCAGAGTAAAGGGAAAAGCCCCACCTCTTTTTTTGTGTTGGGCCAATTCAGTGAACTATTCGGTCGGTCCGGCAGGGGGGAGAACACATCTGGGCAATGTGTGTTCTCTGGTCCTCAGAGAGACGGGCCTCGTACGGGAGCAGGGTGGGATTAACCGCTTTTGGCACCTCCGGCCCCAGCTCCTGTCTTTCTGGTACCGCAGGCACCAGAGCAACAGACTCTGCCTCCCTCCAGGCTTTCAGGAGGTTTAGGCGGTATATTTGCGTGGCTCCGCCCGGGTCAAGCCGCACCACCTCATAGTCGACATCCCCCACCTGCTGTGTGACCTCAAATGGCCGTTGCCACTTAGCCAGGAGTTTGGAGTTGGAAGAAGGAAGTAATGAACTTTTAAGGGTATGAATTGTCGCATTGACTCCAGAGGAATGTGGCAAAGCGAGGAGGGCAAGAATCTTCAGGCAGAGATCTAAGTTGTGTTTGCCAAAATATGCACAACATGGCAGAACTATGTGTCACACATTAGACACCAAAACGAAAACACCCAACGGCCTCATTTATAAAACCATGCGGAGGATTTGTGCCAAAAGTGGCGTACGAATGAAACATAGGACGTGCGTACGCACAGAAATATTCAGACTTATAAAACCGTGCGCACGCACGTCCTACACAGTTTTCCCTTAATAAATCACAATCACTTCTAAATGCAGCGCAGCTTTTGCGGCTTCATGTCACGCCCATAGTTGCCCATATATAGTCTGTGGAACGCCCACAAATTAATATTCAGCGATTGCGAAATCATGGCAAACACTGAGAGGAAAACGAAGAAACGTGACTTCACTCAGTGTGAAGTCAAAATGATCATTGTCGAGGTGGAAAGGAGTAAAATGCTTTTTGGAGGGCACAGTGTGGGCATCACTAATGCCAAAAAGGCACTGTAGTGCAGCGCACCATCGGCCTGTTTAAGTCTGGTCTGGTCTGGTCGGGTCTGGGGGTCGAGGCGCGTTTGGAAGCTGTGCCACATTATGTAGCACAGCACATGCCAGCACGATGTTGCACACCTTATCAGGAGTAAACAATAACCTCCCTCCAGTGCAGTCGAGGCAGCGCCATCTGCCCTTAAACAGGCCGATGGTGCGCTGCACTACAGCGCCAATCCTTCCATGTGCCACATCCAAGAGCGCAAGATCAGCCATCAGCGTCATTACGCATTGTGATGGCATCATGGCATTTACCGCATCTGATTGCGTGTTTCTTGAATTTTTTGACGGTTCTCATTTCACCCGTTTGTGCGTACGCATGGGTCCGAGCTTGCGTGAAGGACCGCACACTTTTCCGTCATGTTTGCTTTTTAAAAATACCAATTATTGCGTAGAGAGCGGTACGTCTTCTTTTGTGCGTATGATTGGGGGAAATGCCCCAAAAAATGTCCTAACGGCACTGAACTGAGTGGTTTTCTCACCCACAAAATGGCACGTTACAGCCAGGTAGGCATCCATATTGCCGCCGGCATCCGGAGTCGCCGGCGGCTCTGGGACACGGAACACCTCCGGAGTCGCCGGCTCAGCCCCCGCCTCAAGGGCCACATGTCAGAAACAAGGTTCACAGCAGCCACCTTTTCCACTTTAGCCTCAGCCTTCTCCTTAGCTGACTCATACTTGGCCTCCATCATGGCCTTCAGAGCCACTATATATTTTTTCTAAAGGAAAAAATATATAGTGCTGAACTGTGAGACACAATAAAGTACTCATCTGTACCCATACATACCGACCTTGTAGGGAGAACATAATTAGGATCCAGTTTGGACACAAATGCCCTGAATCCAACATCCTCCACAATACTGAAGGGCTGTGTGTCCTTCACTATCATGGAGACGAGGCTTCATCCAGCTCTTGTTTTCTGGTGGCTGGTTAAAAGAGAATAAATACAGTTTCTGTTACCGGTCTTTATTTGCACAATAAACAAAAGTGAACAGGGAACAATCGTGTTGGTGCATTTGTAATATTGTAATGACTTATCATGGCTGAAAGCTCCATTTTCCTCCTTATCCTCGCTGTTGTTATTGTAACCCAACTCCTTGGAGCACAATAAACACCTCACCTTTGAATAAGATAAGAAACTCCTCCCCTAAATGAAGCGAGCCTCGACACGCGCGTCGAAGCGTCGGCACATCTCATCACTACTTCTCTCCTTCCCGGTGAAACAAGCGGACGTTAAAATGCGACTTGTCGGGGCGGAGATCTCGGTTCTGTCTCTCCTGATGATGAGCCTTCACGGCGCTGCAGCACGTGAGTTGACGCTTTGTTTAATGAGGTGTTTGATTGTAGAAGAAGAGACGCTTCGTGTCTTCATAGGCTGCAGACATCAGCTGAAGTGTCTCTGATGTCTCTGAAGTTTAGCTCAGGACTCTCTCGATGACGACAGACAAAGTTGTAAAAAGTAACACATGTTGTCAAAGTGCGCGCGTGTTTCCTCTCGTGAGTTTGTGTGAAGGACAGAAGCGTGTTTGTCTCACTCTGCTGTCTCTGTCTTCGGGACATTAAACGGACGGATCGCTCTTGAAGCGGACATGGCAGCATGACGTAGCGCGGCAGATCACTGATGACGTCACACTGATGCTGATGAATCAGTCATCAATATTACTTGTAGATATTATCTTATTGCAGATATATTGGTGTTTACATGTTGTCTGATGAGTGAGAAGAAAGACAAGTGAAGAAATGTCAAACTCAGTCTGAGCTCATTAATAAACCGGATTAGAGCAAAAGTTGATTTTAAACTCTTAGTTTTTTTTTTTTTTTGTAAACGAGATACAAACTATCAATCTGAATCCAGTGAGTTTAGGTCATGTGTTTATATTAAAAATACTATCAGCTGAAATATTTAATATTCAGACTATATTAATCAGAATCCGCCTCAAACGTCCAGCATCTCTCTGCAGTATTTGAGGAAATATATTTATTCTCGGACAGATTTGCAAAACATTTTAGTGACCAGTGCTGAAATAAAAACTCATGAATTTGAATTCAGACACAGAGGACATGAAGATTGTGAAACATTTTTACTTTGCTGATCATTTTAAATAATATTCTAATCTTATTGGATTCTATTCATCCACCTGATACCGATAGAAACTAAAATAGTGTATTGACAGATTTTCGTGAGGCACTCTGCAGGAGAAGATCCTGTTCCTCACTCGCTCACACAGAGATTCCTGGTCGTTCGAATTCTTTGGGTGAAGTTCCCGTTCATTATTTTTATACTTTGTTTTATATAAAACACAACTGCATATACATTTGGTTCCTGATCTCGCTGTGCGTCTTTGATAGCATCATTACCTGTATCAATTGCTCCTGTGCCCCTTATGTAGACTCCCTGTCCCAATAATACACACTGCCACCTGTGGCCAACCTGAGATCGGCTCCCAGTACCGTGTTGTACACAAATATCACAAATGGCTCCTGCACACCGGCCCCTAATTGGGAAAAATATGTGAATTGAATGAATTAACAAATAAACAAATTAAAAATAAAATGTCCCTCTTTCTTCGTCAGGTGTTACCAACACGTGACCCAAGCTTTGGTCCTGACCTTTACACGGCTTCTTGAAGCAGAACAATCGTTCATATAGGCCGCTCCAACTGTCCTGTCTTGGTATTTCTTCCCATGATCCATAACTCACGAGGAGCAGTTGGATCCATGACAATGACAATGTCCTATGATACCAAACTTCTTTGCGGCTTTGTCCACCTTTGTCGTACCTGCAGTAGCGGCAAGTACTTCCTTGTCCATTGTTTCCAGAACCGGTCTGACAGGTACTGAACTAGAGGCACTGAGTGAGAGCTTCCAAGTCATTGACGTCATCAGAAACCTTCGTTATGGGGAGGTCATTATGTTTGAAGCACAGAAAACATTATTTTCCTGACCATTCTAATGAGTCGCTCCCAAACACTGCAATGGTGGAAAGCAGCTTGGGGGTTAAAAGTCCAGTCAATTCTCCTGCAGGAGTGATATGAATCCTGCTATGGTCCATGGTAGCTAAGGCCTCTTTTGACGCTCGCTCTGATCCAGCTAGATTTGTGCTGTTGTCTGACCTAAAACGACGCATTTGGCCTCTGCGACAAAACCTCCTTAGTTTGTTGTTTGTAAATGGTTGAATAAAAAAAAGAATCCTTCTACTGAAACAATTTAAATCTCAAAAAACACAAAAACAAAATGATTTAATTTCTATTTTAATATAACAAATGTAAACAGCAATTAAAACATTTGAACTCGTTTGTGCTTCCACTTCACTGGTCAGATTAGTTAGTCAGATTAATTTGATTACAAAAAAAACGAAAATGAATTCATTTTTATTTGAATATAAAAAATGTAAACAGCAATTAAAAGATCAAATAAATTACCTTTATTAACTTGTTTGTGTCTCCACTTCACTTCAAGAAACTCTGAGTTCAAAGTTATTGTTTAAAACCTCACAAGAAGAAACGTCTGTTTTTAAAAGCTGAATCATCATAAATATCAAAGTAAACATTTATTTCTGTATTTATTAACTTGTTAAACACAGCAGATGTTATCAGGGTGTCTTTGATGTTCTGTGTTTCTTTTTAATTCTGTGTGCAGGAAAACAACATAATTATTGATTAATTAAAGTGTGACATCAGAACTGATGATGATTCCTTTTTGGTTCCAGTGACTCACTCGCTGAAGTATTTCCTCACTGCGTCCTCTGGAGTCCCAAACTTCCCAGAGTTTGTGATTGTTGGGCTGCTGGATGAAGTTGAGGTTGGTTACTATGACAGTGACACCTGGAGTGCAGAACCCAGACAGGACTGGGTGAGCAGAGTCAGAGAGGATCAGCCTTGGGTCTGGTTAATGCAGACTCGGATCGCTTTGGAATGCCAGCAGGAATTCAAAGCCTACATTGAAATAGCAAAACGACGCTTCAACCAAACTGGAGGTTTGTTTTTGTTTCACACTTGTTGTTTATATTTGCATCCTTTTATGTTATTAGTACATAAACACACACACACACACACAGATTAAACAGTCTGAGATCTTTACTTGACTGAAACATTTTCTGCTTCCAGTTCCTAAATATAAGTATATAAACATAATGAATACTTTTCTGTGTTGTTCAGGATAAAGATTTCCTCTCATCCTGATTAGAACTCCAGCTTAGATTAGATGAGCTTTACTTGAGCTCAGGGAGTCGATGCTTCAGTATTTCATTCCAGGTTTTATCAGATGACGTCCAACATGTTCTAGTTGAGGTTCCTCACTGAGACGACTTCTTCCTCTTGTCTGTTTGAAATGGTGATGAATGAAATACTGCTCAGTGTTGTTCACACTGAAGAAGCACTTCCAAGGTTTCATCAGCCTCTCTGACATTTTACAGTGTGAACAATTCATGGATTCATTAGAAATAGTTATTACATCATTGTGGCCATGGTAGCGCTACCACCGCCGGGTTCCGTAAGGACGCACGGACACGCGTTGAGAGCAATAAGTCTTTTTATTTTTCAAGGGATCAGTGAGCCGCGGGCAGGCTGCAATGGCTGCGGTCTTGTCCACCTGCAGGCGCACCCGCCCGCCGCCCAAGTGGTACCCCAGATACCGTACCTCCCTCCGTCCAACTGCACACGGACGCAGCATCCCATCCATGAGGCGCTGGAAGGTGGCCGGGTCGCCGAACAGCCCAAAGGGAAGCGTGGTGAATTGGTATAATCCAAACGGAGTGGAGAACGCAGACTTTTGCCTGGACTCTGGTGACAAGGGAATCTGCCTGTAGCCCATGGTCAAATCCAGTGTCGTAAAAAACTGCGCGGTGCCCAATCGGTCCAGGAGTTCGTCCTCCCGTCGCATTGGGTACGCGTCAAACCGTGACACAACATTCACCCTGCGATAATCCACACAGAACCTTATCGAGCCGTCCTTCTTGGCGACAAGAACGATGGGGCTGCACCAGGCACTGTTGGACTCCTCTATTACCCCCATCTCCAGAATAGCGGCCAATTCTCGCTGAACCATTTTCCTTTTGTGTTCAGGTAACCTGTAGGGCCATAAGGACATCTCAATGTGATGCACTATGAGGTCCGTGCGACCTGGCAGGGAGGAGAACACATCATTAAATTGATCTTGCAACCGGGCTATGTCCGCTTGCTGGGCTGCAGAGAGACGGGCGTCGGACGGGAGCCGGGTCGGATCGGTGGACTTTGGGACATCTGGCCCCAGCTCCTCGCTCTCTGCTACTGCAGACACCAGGGACACGGACTCCGGCTCTCTCCATGCTTTAAGGAGGTTGAGGTGGTAGATCTGCGTGGCTCCCCCTCTGTCAGATCGCATCACCTCGTAGTCGACGTCCCCTACCTGCCGTGTGACCACAAAGGGCCCTTGCCACTTGCCGAGGAGTTTTGAGCTGGAAGAAGGAAGTAATACAAGCACTTTTTCTCCCGGTGTGAATTGTCTCAGCTTGGCCCCTCTGTTGTACAGCCGTTGTTGACGTTACTGTGTGTTTTGTGTATTGGGTGTTTTTTCTCCTGCCGGTGTCCCGCCGGTCGGTGTCCTAGGACGCCATGGTAAATGGGAAAAATCTGTCCCACCTCACGCGAAAGCACTGCATCAAGCCGGCTTTTTGTGCAGCGTGGAGGACATCGGGCTGGCTGTGGGGGAAATAGTCGGGCACAGCAGGGTGAAATCGGCTACTCGGATGAACGGGGCCGGAGTAATTTTTCTAGACCAGGTGGGGAAGGTGAACCGGGTCGTCGAGGCGGGCCTCACGGTAAACGACATGTTCGTACAGGTGATGCCACTGACACAACCGGCCACGAAGGTGGTTCTATTGAAAGTCCCTCCGTTCATCACCGACGAATTTCTCAGCAGAGAACTCTCCAGACACGGAAAGGTGGTTTCACCGATCAAAAAGATCTTGTCTGGATGTAAGTCTCAGTTACTGAAGCACGTAGTGTCTCACCGCAGACACCTCTATATGATACTTAACAACCGGAATGTGGAGCTCAACCTCCGCTTCCATGTTAAGATAGATGATTATGAGTACGTGATTTTTGCATCATCGTCGGCAATGAAATGTTTCGGTTGCGGCGAGGAGGGGCACACCGTGGGTGCCTGCCCGAGGCGCGGGGACCCGACTCCGACTGGCCAGGCTGAGGCGGGGGAGCCTCCTGCCACGGCCGTGGCGGGGGAGCCTCCTACCACGGCCGTGGCGGGGGAGCCTCCTACCCGCGGAGCTGGCTGAGTGGCCGTTTCCGGTGCCGCGGGCTGTGGGATCTGCGGTTCCGCGGGCCGGTGTGCTGCTGCGTCTGACCTACACGGGGTGAGTATGGAAGCTGTGCACGGTGTGAATGAGGGTGTTTTGGTGGGTGAGAGAGGAGCTTTGGGTGAGGTGGCACAGGGTGAGGATGGAGGGGAAGGAAAGGAAAAGGGTGAGGAGGGCTTAGTGTGGAACAGGAGTCAGGTGCCATAGAGGCACAGTTGGGGGGAGGACTGAATGGGGGGTGGAACAGGCAGAGGAGGTTGAGATGGTGGAGGAGGAAGCAGGAGAGCAAAAAGCTGCAACAAAAAAAAGAAGCAAGATACAGGCAACGAGGCAAAAGCCAGCAAGGTGGGGGAGGAAGAGGAGGCCATGGGGGGTCAGGGGCAATCTGACGGCAGTGAGAGTGAGGGCTGTGTGTCGGACAGCAGCGACATCCACAGCGCCTGTCTGACACACAGCCAACGGGAAAAACTCTACTCCGCAGAGCAAATCAAAATGTTTCTACAGAGAGTCAAAAATAGGAGGAATCTGAAAATCAAGGAGTTTTTCCCAGACCTGGTGTGTTTTTATAACTCAGCCAGACTCCGCATGAGCCAGCGAGAGGAGTCTGGCTTCACAGATCAAGAGGGTTTTAGACTGAAAAAACTTGTGCTAAAAGCAAAACGAGCAATCAATGACCAAAAAAAATAGCCCCAATGTGTGTTTTAATTGATTTATTGGTTTTTATTTGTGTTTTATTTGTGACCTTTTTACTGTTGTTTTTATCAATGTGTATGCTCCAACAATCGGTACAGAGAGGAAGCTTTTTTTAACAAAAATTAAGGATCTTTTAGATGGCTGTGCCCCGGAGGATTTTTTATTCTTGGGGGGGGGATTTTAACTGCACAGAAGATGCGACCATAGACCGCAACCGCGCAGAGCCACATCCAGCTTCCCAGCACGCTCTGAGGCCGCTGGTCCGGTCTCATGGCCTGGTGGATGTGTGGAGAAGGATGCATGCAGACTGCCGACAGTACACGTGGTCCCACCTCAGAGAAGGTAGAATCTCCTCAGCCAGGCTTGATCGGTTTTGTGTTTTTAAGCACCATTTTAATATTTTTAAAATGTGTACCATTGTACCAGCTGTTTTCTAAGATCATTCCCTGCTGGTGTGTAATGTTTTTATTAGGAACATTTTGCCAAAAAGCGCGTACTGGCATTTTAACTCCGGTTTAACATTTGATAAGAATTTTAGAGCGGTCCTTTCATATTTTTGGAGTGTTTTTAGGCTGAGGAAGAGTGATTTTAGTAGCCTTAGGCAGTGGTGGGACCGCGGTAAGATCGAGATTAGGCGTCTTTGTCAGCAGCACACTCTCAACGTGACCAGAGACATCACCAGATCTATGAAGGACCTGGAGACTGATATAGTAGAACTAGAGCGTTTAAGCGAGTCCACATTTTGAAGTCCTCAAGATCAAAAAAATGGCTCTGGCCGACCTGTTGGACGTTAAAGTTCAGGGTGCACTGGTCAGGTCCCGATTCCAGACCATCACGGAGATGGAGACTCCCTCTAATTTTTTTTTCAGCCTGGAGAGGAAGAGTGGGCACGGGAGGGTGATCCACGCGCTGTTGGCAGACACAGGGTTGCCGGTGGTGGAACCATGCCAGATTAGGAGGCGAGCGGTCAGCTTTTACTCTTCCCTCTACACCAGTGAGTACAGGGGAGGAGGAAGCACTGACAGAGGAGTTCTGGGGGTGGACTACCTCAAGTCTCTGAGGTGACAAAACGAAGCGCTCGACAGACCCATAATGGTGCAGGGAGCTGAAAGGCCGCCTTGCAGGGCATGCAGGGACGGCGTGCTCCCTGGCATCGGCCAGAGTTTTAAAACATTCTGGGAAATATTTGCATCAGGTTTTTAATGAGAGTCTGGCCTCTGGTTCCATGCCGATGTCCTGCCGCAGAGCCGTCATAACGCTACTGCCAAAAAAGGGGAACCTGCAGGACTTCGGCAACTGGCGCCCTGTGTCTCTACTGTGCGTGGATTACAAGCTTCTGTCCAGGGTCTTTGCCTCCAGGCTGAGGGAAGCTATGGAGCAGGTCATCCATCGGGACCAGACCTACTGTGTGCTCGGCAGGTCCATGGTAGACAATGTCTACCTCATTCGTGATGTTTTGGAGGTCGCCAGCTCATTGGGTAATAACACTGGCCTGATTTCTCTAGACCAGGAAAAGGCTTTTGTCCGCGTTGAGAACAACTTCCTCTGGAAGATCATGGGGAGGTTTGGGTTCAGCGCTGGTTTCATAGCTAAGATCAAAGTGTTGTACAGCGAGGTTGAGAGTGTGCTGAAGATAAACAGTAGTCTGTGTGCTCCTTTTAGGGTGAGTAGAGGAGTCCGGCAGGGTTGTGCTCTGTCCGGGATGCTCTATGCACTCTCCCTGGAACCCCTTCTCAGCAGAATACGCTCTAGCCTGGAGGGCCTGGTTTTACCTGGTTTTAGTAGGAACATGATTTTATCAGCTTATGCAGATGATGTTGTTGTTTTTATTAAGGACCAGAGGGATGCAGACCTTTTAAACAGCATTGTGGAGGATTTTAGCAAGGCATCGGCAGCGAGGGTGAAATGGTTGAAAAGTGAAGCCCTTGCTGTTGGTGAATGGAGTGACGGCCTCCCAGTTCTTCCCCAAAGGTTAGTTTGGAGAAAAGGCGGTTTTAAATACCTGGGGCTCTATCTGGGACAAAGAGACATGATCTGATCCAAAAGAACAGGGAGGGCGTCACAGAGAAGATGGAGGGAAAACTTGCAAAATGGAAATGGCTGCTCCCTGAGATGTCTTTTAAAGAGTGTTTGTTTTAAACAATCTCATTGCATCTCATTTGTGGCACCGCTTAACCTGCCTAGACCCTCCCTCGGAGGGTCGACACTGGGTCCCACAAGGGGTGCTGTTTTTAGCCAGAGAGGAGGGGGGACAGGGCCTTGTCCACTTCGCCAGCCGGACGGCCACTTTTAGTTTCCGGTTTTTGAAAAGATACCTCACATGTCCGGAGGGTTTAGTGTGGCGAGATGTGGCCAGTTGCATCCTCAGACGTTGTCAGGATCTCCAATCCCCTCGAGTTGGTTGATAAGGTTGATCGCTGAGTTTTTATACACATGTGAAGGACATTCTCCGTGCCAGTTACGAGAAGCTGCAAGGAAGGTTGAGATAAGAACCCAGGTGAAGCTGAGGGTAGCACACACACACACAGCAAGATCCTCCTCAGTGGTCGGTGCAAACTCTAATTACTCAACATAAAGTAAAAACGTGGATCCGGAACTTCCGTACCAAGTAAGATATGAACTAAGGCCATGAACAGAAGTCCTTTGTTTTGAAGCGTCTATGAGCTCGAGTTGACCGCCCTCCCTTCTCAGGACACAGCTGCAAACTAACATTTTGTATCATGCTGCTCTTTGCACACCAGGGTCAAATACAGGACACTTGAGACACGGCTTTAGCACAAAACAATGTTACAATATATTTTGCCAGTACATGCATCTCACAACGTACAGACAACCTGGGGCTGGATACTGCTCTGTCTTTAATGGATCCCAATATTTTAATATATAAAAGGGCTGCCTCCGTTTTATCAGGGCGTTTTTAAGTCTTGGGCCCTTTTTATTCAAAAAAGGTGTCCACTGTCTAACTCTTTGAACTGGTTGTTGAGACAACCATTGATTTGCAGGGCCAAACTGGACGTCAGCAGCAGCGTCACACCTGGCCTGACGGGGGCGCTGCGAAAAACAAAAACATTGTGCCTGCAGCAGCTGGTGGACGCAGTAGGGCCGACACTGAATACTTGGTATTTTAACTGCGTGAAGGTCAAAACCGGACTGGACTGTGCAACAGGCTCCCCACTGTGTGGTCCAACAGACTTGGACAAAATGGACCGGGCCCACAGTAGAGGATTTTATACAAACCTCCCCTCAAGAAACGGACTGCCGACCTCCAGTGGAGAATTTTACATGGTGCTGTCGCCTCCAACGCTTTTATCTCTGTTCTTAATCCCTCTGTTCTTAGCCAGTGCCCTTTCCGTGAGCTCAGAGAGACTATTTATCATGTTTTTACTGAGTGTAAGCGACTCACAGGGTTCTTCTCTCTTTTAACATTGGTTTTTAGTCCTTTTAGCGCGTTTTTTATGGAAAACGGAAAAAGAAAAATGGCAGCTCCTTAACTTTCTGTGCGGAGAGGCTGGAGTTTAGGTTTTATAAACACATTGGGGACTTGGACGCTTTTAAACAGCGCTGGTGTTTTGATGACATTGTTTGTTCTGTGGTCAATGACGAGCTGGTATTTCCAAGTTTTTAGCGGGTGATTACATAGTTTTATTTTTTTGTTTTTTGATGTTTTATTTTTTTCTTGGAAGGAAAAAAAAACAAAAAAAAAGTTGCACGTTTGATCATATTGTTTAAAGGATAAAAGAGAAATGTGTAAATAAAGTGTTTTTCAAAAATTCTCTCTCTCTCTCTCAGGTGTCCACGTTATGCAGAGGATGGTCACCTGTGAATGGGATGATGAGACCAATGAGGTCAAGGGTTATGATCAGTATGGTTATGATGGAGAAGACTTCCTATCTTATGACCTGCAGACAGAGCAATGGATCGCTCAAAAACAGCAGGCTGTCATCATCAAAGAGAAGTTGGATCGGAACCGAGATCTGACCGCAGGGAACAATGGCTACCTGACAGATTTTTGTGGTCGATATCTGAATATCTACTTGAACTACGGGAGGAGCTCTCTGATGAGAACCGGTAGGATCACATGACCTGATGTCCTTCCATGGACACGATGCTCATAAACTTTCTGTTGTTTCATAGCAACATGTCAGAGACACACAGAGACCCACTGTGTCTCCCACATTTCTCCCCCCTCACCTCCTTCTCTCCTTCACTCCACTCTAACACTAGTTGAGTGTTAAAGAGGCATTTTAAATACATCAAAGATGAATGATATTAATACACTAAATATCAGTGATAATAATAAAGATGTAACCTGTCCCTCTCTTCTGTCTCCAGAGCGTCCCTCGGTGTCTCTCCTCCAGAAGACTCCCTCCTCTCCAGTCAGCTGCCACGCTACAGGTTTCTACCCCGACAGAGCCGACCTCTTCTGGAGGAAAGATGGAGAGCAGCTCCATGAGGACGTGGACCTCGGAGAGATCCTCCCCAACCACGACGGGACCTTCCAGATGAGGGTTGACCTGAAACTGTCCTCCGTCCCTGCTGAAGACTGGAGGAGGTACGACTGTGTGTTCCAGCTGTCTGGTGTGGACGAGGACATCGTCACCAAACTGGACAAGACCAGGACCAACACGGGTAGGTCTGAGACCCGGAGCGGTGAAGGAGGTAAGCAAACATCCACTTTGTGTGTTTTAGATTTGGGAAGTTTTGTTTTCTTACATTTCTAGTCTAGTTTTTATTTGTAGTCATTTTAAGACTCGGATCAGAATTAAACACAGTGAGAGTTATGAACACTGTTTACTGGTCTACATTAATATATAAATGTGTCAATATTTGGTTCATTTCTCTGTAAATAAGTTTATTCATCCTTTTGTAAACTCCTTCCAGGTAAGAGCTTTATTTGAGTCCGTGCTGAACTATTGTAACGTGTCACCACAATTCAGACGTTGTAGAATCTGCATTCACACAACTACTGGTCACTTAAAGATGAGTAGACAGAATGATTAAACACGTGTATTAATACATGTATCCATCAGTGAATCAGACAGAGCAAAGTTCAGGAAGGAGGTTGAATATGTGTCTCAGTCATCATGTGCAGACGGCATAAAGAAATGACGTCACATGGTGTGTGTGTTCAGGTCTGCTGGATAAGTGGATCTTCTTCTCTTCTGACCTGCTTCATCTGTTCAGCTTGAGACTCTTTGATTGTTTTGTGCTCCACAGAGAAGCCTGCTGGCTCCACCTTCATCATCATCATCATCATCATCGCTGTGGCTGTTCTTGTCGTCATCATCGCTGCTGTGGTTGGATTCAAGGTTCACAGAAAGAGGAACGGTGAGAGAGACGATCAGAGACACAGTGTTGAGGAGCATTTGATTTTAGGCTTTGAGTTGATGCTTTTATCCAGAATGAGACACTGAAGCAACTTTCACCAGTCACACCTATAAAACCATATTTGCTTTTATTCTGCATTTATTGTTTAGTGCCATTTTACTTTTAGACAATTCTGTGAGTGATTTGCACTTGACAGACAAATTCTCTTTTTATTTTTAATTTCTTTCTATTTCAGCCCAACGCTCTTCTTCTTCTTCTGCTTCTACTGACGGCTCTGAGGTCACTGAGGAACTGAATCCTATACCTTGAAGTCGGCGTCCTGCACACAGTGAGTAGCTCCACGTGGACATGAACTATTCACAGCTGCTGTTCCACAAAGCTGCCCTCAGTATGAGCACAAGGAGCTTCTCATGTAAAGAAGTCTTTGACTTTTTCTACAACAAAGGTGCAGTTTGGTTCCGTGAGACGTGAGATTATTAAGAGAAAGACACAGAAAGCTTCACATCAGCTCCTCAGATAAAGTCTGATATTCAAAGCTCTTACATTAACTTCTAGGAACTCACTAACACATGTTTATCAAAATGGAGTCAAAGTAGTTTGTGGTAAATGATTTAGTTTTCTCTTTTATGTATTTGTTTCTCTCTTTAGGTTTATGGGTGAATATTGCTCTGGATCAACAAGCGATGCTCCACATTCTTCTCCATAAACTGTCAATTTATGGCTCATTCATCTTTCATTTAAACGTCTGAATCAGTGTTGGTGAACATCTGGAAACTGAGGAAACATCAACAGTCACATTTAATTATTTGGGTAGTTTGCTTTTAATAAAATGGTTGAAATGAAATAAAACGAGGATGATTATTTTAGGAGACGTTCAAATCAATGAAAGCATCAAAGTGCTCACAGACTAGTGTGTTCATCTCAAACAAATCCACCATATTTACTCTTTGATACTTCTGCTGTTTGGGTTGAATCATTGTTGGTAACAAACATGTAAATACACACACACACAAAATATTGACATTAAAACAACAGTTATTTTCTGATTGTGTAAATAGTTTGCTTGTATTTTTCTTTGCAGTAGATTGAATTTAACAGGTTGAAGAAAATAATAATTTGAGGGTTTTCTGAATAAATCAGTATGTTTATTGGTTCATAACGTCTTTTGATCACTTTTAAAGTATCATATTATTTATATTTGGGTTTGAATCATCCGAGCACACTGATTGAAATGTCATTGACTATTTCTTGCTGCTGTTTTGGATCAAGGGATGTTTTCCTTCTTGGTTTCGTGGGAGTTGAACAGTGATGCTCTGAATCACTTCTTGTTTTGTAGATGATGGTGGAATGAAGTTGCTCCATTTCCCCTTTTTGTACCTTTGTCCTGCTGTTCAATAAATGCTCCAGATGTTTGTGTGTTGTTGTGATTCCATGTGCTTCCCCTCTGTGACTGCAGCCACAATCACATGCATGTTGTTTCCCTTTGGACTCTAAACGTCGTGTTCTTCACTTCACTGGTTTAAAGCATGCTGGGAGTTGCTGCAAATGGAAGACTCACATCGCCTGAGATCATTTTATCGTAACAAAATAACATTTGTAAATCCTGCGTCTTATCAGCACATGTTGTGGTCGTAGTATCTACAATGATCTGAATATTCAGTGTTCTCTGTTGTCTCTGAGGATAAATGGACGAGTCTTTGACCTGCAGACGTCCAACAAAAGAGCAAGAAGAGTGAACATTTTAGGGGCAAAGCAGTGATTCTTCACAGATAGCCCTCTGAATTATATACTTGAGACAACACACACACGTTATGCTTGAAGGTGGAAGGTCTGCATCTTAGTCTCCCAAGTCATGACATGTACACACGAGACATGCGTCAAGGCTTCTCCAAGGTCTGAGTCTCCGTCTAGTTGAGATAACTAATCAATATAGAGTTGCAGGATTTAAAATTCACACTTAGTGTGCAGTTCGAGCATACATACATTTTTTAATGTGTGTCTTTGAGCATCAACATCAGAAATCTTGAACAACATGATTACAACACTGTGGTGGCGGGCGTGGTTTGGCTCAGCTGCAGAGGGGACGGAGAGGGGAGGAGGCATAATTGGCCTCAGGTGGAATTTATCAGTGTGTGTTCTGCCTTCAGTAGGGGAGATCCGGGGACAGCGAGGAGGACTGAGCGAGGCGAAGAGGCTGGAGCCGGATGTGTGTTGTATTAAAACAGTAAATAAAGACTGAATATTGAAACTCTCCTGGATTCCTCACAGACCCACGTTACAAACACCAAATGACGTGTTCAATCAGGGATTTGTGGCCTGATTATGAAATTGTAAACGTGTCCATTTCAAAGACATAAAAACTACATTATCAGCATCAACATATATCAGTAGGAGCTGTGGCTCAGTTGGTAGAGATCGTCCTCTAATCATGAGACGGGTGCTTTGATCTCCTATTGTCAGCATGTCCAACCCCCAAAATGCATACATGTATTGTATGAGCCGCATTTAAGTTTATGTCCATGTATTAAAACAACTTATTTTTGTTCTTTTTATATGTGTTAAAAGCAAAGTGTGCCCCCTACAGGAGAGGCGGGCGCTCCTAGTTGGTGCGAATGGCGCATAGTTGGGTGAGAAACGGGTTACGGCAGATACCGACTCCAGAGGAATGTGGCACAGCGAGGCGGGCAAGAAGCTTCAGGCAGAGATATAAGTTGTGTTTGTCATAAAATGCACATCGTGGCAGAACTGTGTGTCACACAATAGACACCAAGACGAAACCCAGCGGCCTCATCAGGTGATTCCCAGAAGCGGCACAAAAGGAAGAGCTGTTCGTGTCCAGCAGAGGCGCTCTGGGACTGGTCCCGACTCCTGAAGGAGGTGCAGCCATAAAGGCCTCATGAACTGCCAGAGACAGAAAGCGGGAGGATAAATCAGGTTGCATTCTGGGAAGATTTGTTGTGATTCTCTGCTTCTGTCTGTTCCAGAGAATAAATGTTATTTGTAAAATTTAGGTTTATAAAACAATTGATAGAATAAAATAGAAAAACATATATTTTCCTTTTTTCACCTCCATGTGATACAATTATAAGTTGTGTGTGTGTTTTACCGCGAGGGAGGCGTGTGGCTCAGTGGCAACTCAAACTAGCATGTTATAGGTTTTATTTGATGTGTATTTCAGTCTAAGAGCTTTTCAAAACACTAAAGCGACGTGTCTTTCACAGCTTTGCTACATTTTATTCCTTGTAACAAAGGAACGATCTCCTATTGAATGAAGACTGAAGACAAAGCAGTGAGACTTCTGCTCAGTGAAGTTTAGGTTCCTTCTTTTGCTGTGAACAACATTTAATTTGCAGACAAAGCTAAGAAACACAAGTAATTCAAACAGTGAAAACAATAAAACCATCGGACAGTAATTCACTACACAAAACGGAGAAAATCACGTAATTCAGACGTGAGAAACTTCACTGAGAAATGCTCTGATTAGATAATCAGATTACAGCAAGGATCATGTCTTGTCTCCCTTTAATGGGGTTTAATCACTTCTCCTTGCTGTATTTCAGTACCATGAAACACAGCAAGCACGACTGATAACAGCAGCTTGTAGTCTGACTTTCAGTCAGAACAACTGATAACGTTCTCAGTCAAACAAAGATCCTTCGTTGTATATGATCGTGATATTTTACTGTGCACTCACTCTGAGCGGTCTGATGTAAATAACAGCAGCATTAGTCTCAGGTTTTATAATAATGTTACACATGTGTAGGGTTGTATTTTAATGCCACATACAGTTAAAAAATGTCTAAAATAGTTAACAAAGACAGACAGTCCGTCTGTCCAATCAGAAGGGTCCGTCCTCTGCTATAAGGCCCTACCCTTTCCGTAAGAAGTTAATTCCGTTGTGTTTTGTACTTCAGGGCCACCGTAGGTCTCCCATTTCCAACGCTGCTGCAGGTGCCGGCTTTGTCATTTCCTCCTGAAGGGTGTCCTCCAGCATCTTCAGGAGGGGGACAACTTTGGAGGCAGGCACGTTTTCCTCTGCCGACAGCTCTACAGTGGATCATAGAAGGGAGACAGCAAAGAAAGGCACCCTCCAACAATGTTGAACTCTTTGGCTGTTAGGAAGGGGATGTCATGTTGTAACCCAGCTAACGCTGCTCCTACTGGCTGACTCTCCACTTCTTGCATTAGCTTCATGTTTGCCATCCCCAGATGAAGTTGCACTTGTGTAAGCTTATCCTTTAAAGATACCGATGAGTAGGCCATTAAATCACTGCAGTAGGAACACAGACAAACTCTTAGAGTTAAATGAAATTGGAATAAAGGGAAAGCGCATACCTTAGCAGTGGTGCTGCTTCTAAAGAAGCCCACCAGAGAGCACAGGCTGCTGGTCAAGTGCCTTCTTCACTATCAGATTCAGCGTGTGTGCAACGCAAATATGGTGCCGAAGCTTCAGCTCTCTCACACAGGCAACCATATTGGGAGCATCATCAGTGACCACACATGTCACCTTATTGGCAATTCCCCACTCCTCCATCAGGGCTTTCACACAAGCTATATTTTCAGCAGTGTGTGATTGGGGGAAATGCCCCAAAAAATGTCCTAACAGCACTGAACTGAGTGTGGTTTTCTCACCCACAAAATGGCACGTTACAGCCAGGTAGGCATCCATATTGCCGCCGGCATCCGGAGTCGCCGGCGGCTCAAGGGCCAGATCCCAGACGGCCCCCAGATCACCAACAGGGGGGTGGGAGAGGTCCATGGGATGGGAGGGAGGGTTGCCCGAGTCGGGGAGCGGGGACTGGAGGCGTCGGCGTCTGGGGTCGGGGGCTGGAGTCTCGGGGCCGGTACTGGCTGAGTCAGGGTCGGGGCTGAGGGTCTCTGGGTCTGGGCTGAGAGGGTCGGGGCTGAGTCTCGGGGCCAGTAATGGCGGGGTCGGGGCTGAGTCTCAGGACCGAAACCGGGGTCGGAGGAGCTAGTCGAGGAGCGGGAACGGGAGATTGCTGCGGCGGCCCAGCGGGAACGGGAGGTCGGTGCTTCCTCTTGCCAGTGCTCCTACTGGGATTTAGGAGGTCCCGGAGCTCGAGGCATAGCTCCTGGGACCGAATACAAATTTTGTGGTCCGCTGCCAGAACGGGCTCCTAATATCCATGTAGTTAGGTCCATAGTCTGGCAGCGGGTCTGCGGAGTCCTTTCGTGGTCGCGTCATTCTGTCAGGGTCGGGTAGGAAGGCAGGACTCAAACGCAGACGTGGAGTAACGAAAGAAGACTTTAATAGTCAAAAGGGCAATAAAGAAAAGGCCAGCGGGCAAAAACACACACAGGAACGGGGCAAAAAGGAAGACAGGAAGAGGGGGCAAAAAGGCAGGCAGGAACAAGGAACATCCAGGACAATAGACAGTGACAAGAGACACACGGCTTAAATACACTAGGAGGTGCAGGTGATTGGACACAGGTGGAAACGATCAGACAATTACAGGGGATGACAGGACCGGGCAGGTAGTGAAGTTACCCAGGGAGACAAGAAGCAGAAAACTACAAAATAGGACAACAAATGAAACCACACAGTGACACTTGGAGATAAGGAGGAGGACCTTTTCAAACATTATAACGTAAGTAATTGAGTACGCTTTTAATTTTGTTTGAACTGCATGTCTCTGTAGCCTTCCCACTTGGAGATATGGCTGTTTTAATACACCAGCCTC